TTTATGTACAGAAAAGTGGCTATTTGGATACTCCAGCTTCTATTGGATAATAACCAGATACATATAACATGGTGCTAAGTGTTGAAGGTTCCAGAGGTGGCTTCTGGGTAATGAGACAGGTACTTTAGTAGCATTATTTAGAAAATTTCCAGTTTAGTCACACTTCAGATGATATAGGGAGAGCCAGCTGGTGTCACTTATGAAAGCAAGTTAGTAGTTAATATAGTAGACACTTGCAGACAGTTTTATACATGGTGTCTCACTTAGTCCTCACAATAGCCCTTCAGAGTAACTACCTTGATAATGGTATTATTTCCATTTTGCAGGTGAGGAAAGTGAGGCTCAGAGAGATTAAATAATTTACCCAAAGTAACACAGCCAGTATGTAGCAGAGCTGGGATTTGAACCAAAGTCTGTCAGACTCCAAAGCCCATGCTCTTTCCAGTACTTCACACTGCAGCAGGTAAGTATGATACTCGGCCCTGTGCTTGCCTTACTTAGGGCACTCCAAACTTGAGCCTGTTTCCATCACCTCACTGGCGTCTCCTAGTCAGACTACAAGAACATGTGACTTGGGCCAAGATCAATCCTAGTACATCCTTTCTGGACATTATACTTAACTCTTCCATGAGGGAGAATGTGTATTTTCGCTTTCAGAATATGATTTCTTTCCTTGTAATATAGCAGCAAAAGTTATCTCTGCAGTTTGTCCACAGGGATATCAACCTTGTTTAAAGCATCATTCATACTCTAGGATCTAAGGGTGTGTAGCCAAGGGACTGTGGGAAGTTATTTTGGTTTTCTCTCTCTTTTTTTTTTTTTGTAGGGAATGGCTATTCCATTCTTTAACCTGATTATGTCATAAAATTGTTGTGAGAGTGGAATGAAATAATAAGTATTAAACTGTATGAAGTAGTGCTTATACACTAATCCCTTACCTTTCCAACAGTTCCATCTAAGTACAGATTCTTTTTTTATGAAATTCTAGTAACAGATTTACTTCTGTAAATCTTTTTAGTTAGCCTAGAGCATTTTGAGTGAGTGTGGTTGAATTATAAATCACAACAATTTCAGTTGCGGGATTAACTCTTAACATTTAAAAAGATGTTTTACATTTTAGTGTGATATTAGAACAAGGTAAAGTTAATTTTCAAGAATCTTGTTGAAAATCCTTTTTAGGGTAATTCTGAAAAGTTATAATAAGTGATGGCAAATAGGTATTAATTGTACAATAACAGTTACTTAGGTCATTGGTTTTCAATTATAGTTGACATACAATATTAGTTTAGGTGTACAATGTAGTGTGATTTTCAGATAATGGCAAGTGAATGTTAATTGTGTAGGATCAATTACTTAGGGCATTGATTTTCTTTTGAACTGTCACATTATGTTCACTGATTTAGTGGTTTTCAAAGAGATATTTGTAAGACCTTTCATGACTTTGGTTTACTAGTCTTGTTTTTTCCTAAAGTCTTAAATAAATTCATTCATAAAGCTCATGATTATTAAGGGCTTACTGTGGAAGACTGAGGATAGATAAAGCAGTGAGCTCACAGGAGAGAACAAAAGAGGCAAAAATACCTGACCTCATGGAGCGTACATTTTACTTGGTATTATATATAGACCACAAACAATGTAAGTAAATAATGTGTTAGTTGGTAATAGAACAATGAGGAAAAAAACGGTCAGGGGTTTGCAATTTTTAATAGATGGTTAGGGAAGATCTTACTGAGAAATTGCATCTGTACAACAATCTGAAGAGATGAGGGACGGAGCTATGTTGTCAGCCAGGGAAGAGTATGCCAGCTAATACTAAGGCCCTGAGGTGGAAATGTACAGCATCAACAGCAAAGACAGTGAGATTTGCAGTCGAGTGTGTGTATGTATTTGTGTGTGTCTCTGTTTGGAAGTGTCTTACCGTCCATTCATTCTAAGGACTTCCCCTCTGCATGAAATGGGAAGTGTTGAGGTTTTGAGTAGAATTCTAACACCAGAGTTTTCAGAAACACATCCTTGGAAATTGCAGAGGAAACATTGTACAAATAAATGATATTAAATATTATTCCTCAACTGAAGTACAGGTTTTTATAATCAGGAAAAGTACTTAAAATTTTGCTAGCAATAAGTCCCTACATAAGGAAAAAATGTGTTGGGAAACTTCACAGAAGTTTTTTACTTTTTAATTCAAAAGAGCCAGTCAACATGGGAAGGTAGATTTATTTTTTATATTTTTAAAGATTTTATTTATTCATAGACAGAGGGGAAAAGAATGAGAAAGAGAGGGAGAGAAACAGTGATGTGTGGTTGCCTCTCATGCGTCCCTACTGGGGACCTGGCCTGCAACCCAGGCATGTGCCCTGACTGGGAATTGAACTGGCAACCCTTTGGTTCACAGGCCTGCGCTCCATCCACTGAGGCACACCAGCCAGGGCACTAGTATAGCTTTTTAAAATGAAGGGTGATCTGTTATGACATGGTCTTGCAAAAAGTTAATTGTGCTGTCATAATTAATATTACAGTATATCACTCCTGGTAATGCAGTGAGTGGTAAAGGAGATGAACTGAAACATGTTTACTTGAGCAATAATAATTTAGCGTAATGAGTATGGGAAAAGGAATACAAAGTTCATCTTTTCTATGAAGCAGTCTTTCAAGTTAAGTCACAACATAATTGTAAAAAAATTTACGGTGAGCACATTTTTTTTCATTTCCATCAAATGATTGGTAGTAATTTTTTAGGTTACAAATTATAAAATTTTACCTGAGTGGAAAGGTAATGGATAGTTTAAAGTTCAATCTAGAATGTCTTTGCCAGTGATTGGTCCTGTAGTGCATTTTCCCTTTTTCTTTTGACTGTCCTCATCTCTCCATTTTCTGTGTGCTCAGTGAATCAGCTCTTCTTTCCTCTCCATTTCTCTTATTTTTTAAAAATACTTTATTTATTTATTTTCAGAGAGAGAGGAAGGGAAGGAGAAAGAGAGGGAGAGAAACATCAATGTGTGGTTGCCTCTCATGTGTCCCCCACTGGGAACTGGCCTGCAACCCAGGCATGTGCCCTGACTGGGAATCAAACCTCGATCGCATGGTTCACAGGCCCGCGCTCAATTAACTGAGCTACACCAGCCAGGGCTCCATTTCTCTTATTTTTAATCTCTTATATACTCTGTAGCTAAGACCCAGTCATGATAATCTTGGTTGACTAAATTAGAGTAGATTAGCTTGGAAGAGTTAACAAAACAGTTGTTTTAAACAATGAACTATTCTGGCAATGTTGCTGTGTTGGACAGTTGATATTCCTTAACCTGGTTTTTAGAGCTTTTTACAACCTGTATTTCCTTCTAACTATGTACCCTGCTGTCCTGGCCAGAATGTTTTATTTATTGTCCCCCAAATAATACTCAATAATCTATAAGGACAGTGCATACATTAGGTATAAGTGTGTCTCAGGCTTTTCCATACCTCCATTTTTGCTTGTGCAACTTCACCTTCTTCATATTCCCTTTGTCCTCTCCTCCACCTGTGCAAATTCTGCCCATATTTCAAGACCAAATTCATATTCAGTCCTCTCACTAAGGCCTGTTTACTTGAGCCTGTTTTTGCTTCCTTTGAATTGTTACAGAAATAATTATTGGTAGTTGACCATAAATTTTTATTGCTAGCTTTGAACTAGTACTTTCCTGGTATTCTCCCTAGAAACTTTCCAAAATTCTCCTTAGAAACAGACCCAGTAGGATGTGTATATGTTTATACACACATATAAAAAGAAACTTATTGTGAGAAATTGGCTCATGTGAATCATGGAGGCTGACAGTCCCAAGATCCACAGGGTGCGAGAACAAGATGGAGACTCAGGAGAACCGAGCAATGGTGCAGTTCCGGTTTGAAGGCTGGCAGGCTTCAGACCTAAGGACGATGTTTCATTTTGAGTTTGAAGGCAGGAAAAAGCTGATGTCCCTGTTCAAAGTCAGTCAGGCAAGAGGAATTCTCTCTTAATATTTTATTTTGCTGTTAATATACGTTCCTTACCTTGCCAGCTAGGAAATAAGCAACTTGAGAGCAGGGACCGCAAGTTATATTTGCTTATTTACCATTCATGAGTCTTTGCATCCTGATTTAACATGTAGTAGGTACATCTACACACTTTATAAAACCATAATATTTTAGAGCTGGAAAGAACCTTTGAGGTTATCTTGGCTTAGAGTTGGGGAATCAAAAATAGCTTTAAAATAGGGAGATTAATAATATACCACTTTTCTTGATTGTTAGAAGAATAAAATGAGTTAATATAATGTGTGTGAAAACTCTCAGGGGTGTCCAGACTTTTGGCATCTCTGGGCCATGATAGAAGAAGAATTGTTTTGGGCCACACATTAAATATATTGCAACACATAATCACACCCAAAAAAAATCTCATAATGTTTTAAGTAAATTTACAATTTTGTGTTGGGCCTCATTCATAGCCATCCTGGGCCACATGTAACCAGTGGGCTGCAGGCTGAACATCCCTGTGAGTCTAAATGATTTATTAAATAAAACTTCTGTTTTGTGAGTGGGTTTATTTATTTGTTTGTTTCACTTAGCTCATGAGTCAAAATAATTGGGGGGAAAAGTCCTTCAATTTACTAAATTAGACAATATTCCTGAGTGGAGAATTTACCTTTTTCTTTTTTTTTATTTAAAGATGTACACAATACATCAGTTACTCATACTCACAAGTTGTCCAAAATGAGAACAGATTTAATTTTAGGCAAAACTTTTTATCTGAGATACTGAATTTATTGATTCATATAGAATATTCCAATTAGGTGTTCAAACATAAGGCATCATAACCAAGTGGCAGCTTTAGCTTTGGATTGTATTAAAGCTGCAGGTTGAAGTTATAGTATTTAAACATTAGATACCTTAATTTGAACTTAAGTACTCTTCTTTAGAAGTCTATAATTGTGGGAACTGATATTGATTATTTTCAAATGTTTTTATTTAATATTTTTTCTTCCTAGATTTCCTTGTAATCACGTCTCAAAACCTTCAAGATGGTATTAGCAGACCTTGGAAGAAAAATAACATCAGCATTACGCTCTTTGAGCAATGCCACCATTATCAATGAAGAGGTATGTAAAATATGTGAAGTATATATTACTGTACATCATCACTAGCATTGGGGAGATGGATTATTAGTAACCTCTGTGTTTATATTTATATTGATATTGATTTAATATGTGTAGATAAAATCCTAAAGTGGATATACTGTTTTTTTTTATTGAGAGTCAATTATCTTACTATTAATTTCAACTTTCTATAAAGAATTACAATAGAACAAAACCTTAACTTACATGTAAAAATATATACATTTTATATTTTGAAAACAGCTTATACTCTTAAGTATACTCAAGTATACTCTTGCTTTTTCTCTTGACATAGGCCTAAAATTTCAGTATCCTGCCTTTTTCATCTTGGCTAGACATGTGTGTACCTGACCTTTTCTCCTTAGTTTTTCTTTAGCATTCTTATATAAGGCTAATATTTTCACCTTAGCTATTTTGATTCATTTTCTCTGAAGTCTTCATTCAGTTTTTTGGAGATTTTGTAAGCTGACTCATTGTATGGTATCTGAAATATTCTTCTTCCTGGCGTTATTGTTTTAAGATTTTTCTTTCACCTATTTTCCCCCAGACATTGTATTTTATGGTTCGTCAGTCGAAAAAGGTGGTGTAATCCACAAGAATACATTATATATATTGTGGTACCAATGAAAACTACTGAACTTGGTTTTGGAAGACCTTGTTTAGCATCTTACTTAGTAGCTGTGTGATAGAAATTTGGGCAGGTCAACTTCAGATTCCTTAGCATATAAAATGAGAAAGTAGCACTTATCTTACAAGATGGTTTTAAGAATCAAAGTAAACAATAGGTAAAAAGTACTTTCTGGGGGGGAAGATGGAGGATATCTGTAATAGTGTCAACAATTTCTTAAAAAATACTTTCTAACATGGAGGTTTGAAAAAACTCTAATGTTGAGTTTGATATCAGCACAGTAATCTAATGCTATTACATAATTTTGAGACCATCTTTGAGCTTAGCTAGTTTAGCCTTTCATTTAATAGCAACAGAAAGCCGATTTCACGTGTTCATTTATTGGAAGAACCAGGATTAAAATCTTTTTTCTAATAATTATTATTAAATAATAAATGATAACTTAAACCACTGTTTAATCTTTGGAACTCAGAATAAATCAAATAACAGCTTTGTGTTTATTGTAGAGAAAAATGAAACCAGGAAGACGAGTGTTGGTGGGAGGTAGAATAACAGCTGTTGCTTGAATTGGTAGCTTTTCTGTTCTATGTACTGTGCTGCTAGAGAGTTAACAAGAAGAAATCCTTCTAATGAAAGATCAGCTCCATTTTTATCAGATATCTTTAATGAGGGATACAGAAGTCTGATAAACCTTAGGACATAGGAAGCTGAAGATAAGAGTTCATTCAAGAAGTGTTTAAGGGCCTACATTTTTGCTGGCATGAGGAATAGAGCAGTGAACAAAATAGACTAAAATCTCTGTCCTCATGGAGCTAGTGTAAAGACACTTATTTACATAAGCAGCAGAAACCTCATCTTTTCTTAAGACCATAGTTTCTGATCTTTTAATCACAATGGCTTGCCACTCAACAAATATGTTATGATAGTGAGTTATTAGTGGAGGAGCATTTTCTTTTTACTTTGTTCCTCTGCTCTAAATGGAAATAGTAAAACTGTTAGGTCGGACTAGGTCATTTTCTTTTGTTTCATTTTCCTCCATGCTAGGCCAGTTAAGCAGCTATTGTGAATAATGAAGTGTTGTATATAAGCAATAGGAGGTGTTCAGTGACATAGGAAACTTCAGTAGCAACACTATATTGTGTAGTAACTTTCTTTGGCTTGTATATTGTCTTTATTATTACTTTACCATATGAATAAAATTGTAATTAATACCTACTTGAACAAAACCAAACTAATGTCTTATTTTGACAAAATGACTTAACATTTAATAAGATGATCTCTCTAACAAAAACTTTTTGTTCCCCCAATACTGTAATATTGTTTTTATTAAGCTATGGTAGTATATGATGACTGATGAACTATTGTTTTACATGGTTGAATGATACACTGAGCATTTTAAATTTTTATTATTTATTTGCAGGTATTAAATGCTATGCTAAAAGAAGTATGTACAGCATTATTGGAAGCAGATGTTAATATTAAACTAGTGAAACAACTAAGAGAAAATGTAAAGTAAGTTCAATTAATTAGGTAATAAAACAGGCAAAACTAAATTTAGTTTACTGGGATGAAGAGCTAACTTGAAAAGTCTGTTGAATTATGAAATGTTTCCGCCATATGGAGCTGGGAAAGAATCAAACTCATATGTTAGAAGATTGTGTGTATAGCATGTTTTCATAATGATTGTTCAAAAAATAAACTACATGTGGCTTTCACTTAATTATGGATCTCTTTCCATTTTACTACTGTATTTGGATGGGTTCAACCATATACTGTATAGGATTTTAATATAAAAGCTTTTTAACAATTTACATTCTTTATAGAAAAGTGGTGCCATTTTATTTTCTTCAGACTCAAGATGGCATTAATCAGTCTCCTTCTGATTATATTGGAGAATTGTCTTCTCTCTTATTTCCCTTTTGGTTTTTTTGTCCAAATTTGAATGAAGGAGTAATGTATGGCCTCCATTTTTGTGTTCATTGGGAGGGGCAGTGACTGGGGCAGGGCACCGAGAATAATGTAGGCAATTCAGTCAACTGCCTGAATCCTAGCCCTTGGCATGCTCAGGCCATCTTTCCTTTTCATCTTATCAGACTGGATAATAAATGTAGAGCTGCTAGCATTAAACATGTAGGAGAGAAATTCGTCTTATTTTCTGCTAGGTGTAAAGATATCTAAATAGATAAGCTGCAAGGAAAAGAAATAAAATTAATACTTTGCAGTGATGTGAAGACCAGTGAATATTTACATTCCACTCCCACTGCCCCCCAAAAAGAGCCTTGCAAAACCAACCAAAGTCTTGCATCTAATATTTCATGGTAAATTCTTTATGGTACAGGCTTTTGAATTTGTAGTAATTATATTCATGTTAATTAGAAGGCTATTAATACGAATGATTGAATGGTCCCACATTCTTTCAGGCAGAAACTTCTTTTTTAGAGTCTCTTAACTGGCTTTTCTCCCTCTTACCCCCAAATACCATCATCGTGAAGGTCTGCTATTGATCTGGAGGAGATGGCATCTGGTCTTAACAAAAGAAAAATGATTCAGCACGCTGTATTTAAAGAACTTGTAAAGGTAAAAGTATATCAGGATTCTGCTATGTTTTTCTGTAGACTCAATGGCTAAAAATACATTAGCACTGCAAACAGAAATGCTATTTCAGAAAACTTTTCTGTTTTATATACTATTCATCAATATTAAAAACATTGAGGATGATTAACTTTTAAAGTGGCTTATTTTTATTATAAACTTTTCTGAATGTAAAATTCTGAGTACAGATATGAAGGCCAGCACTGTTGCTGTAAAAAAATGCCAAGGCTGTGTTCTAAAAAGTTAATACCAAGTTTTACCTATTGAAGGTCTTACTTTTGTATAGAAAGTCACCCTGGGCAAATGTTCTTTTCTACACTGTTCATTTTGTACAGAATTTCCTTTGAAAAGACCAAATATCCTAACTCTGGCCTAGGTTATGTGAAGATTTGAAATTTCTTCTCATAACCTAGGTTAGTGAAATTTTGCTTTGCATGTAGTAAATATAACCTATGTAATCAATATTATTACCCTGTCTCACCTTAGAACTGATATTGCAGCTGCTGTCATGAAAATTATGGTGAAAATCTTAGAGCTTTAAAAAATATGAATGGGTCTAATGGTGTGGTGGGGGAGAAAAAAGAAGGAACTAAAAAACTTTTTTTTAAAGAGCAACAGATATTTGCTCGTGGTCTCCTAATATTTTTCCCTATGTTGTGTGATTGATTTCATTTACTCTCTTGGTTCCTGCATAGCTGATTAGTACTTTGCAAAAGTCTACTTATCTCAGATGGCTATGCCACCTCAGTTTAGTTCTGTAGACTAGTTAAAAACTAAGGAAATTTGGAGCAGAAAGGGATCAGAGAATTTATCCAGTCATACTTCTCAGTTTGCAGTTGAGAAAAATAAGATAGCTAGTAAGTGGCAGACCCAGGTCTCATCTCCAGGTCTCCTTGTGTAGGACTTTTCATCTAGCACCAGAGGTGAACATGGGTGAGGAAAAATAGTTATTTTTAGGGATTGGCATCTGTAGGCAATTCTGGAGCATCAAGTGTTTCATTAAGAATCATTTATTGAGTGTCTGCCTCATTCCAGGCAGTGTACCAAATGCTGCTGATAACAGCGATGAGTAAGACTTGTCTTTATACTCAGCAGCTTATGGTCCAGAGCATTGTTGTACAAAGTAAGGTCGAATTGTTTTCACAATAACACTAAGACATTATTTGCCTTTTTTGTCTCTTTTACTGTGTTGATATTTTCACTGATAGAACAAAAGCAATTGTAGGTAAAACTCTGTAGGATGAATCAAAGCAGTGGTACCAAACTATACTGGTAGTCATTGTACTCTTTACTACATACTTGCAGTAAAAATAAAAAAATAAAAAATACCAGTTTCACTTAAGAATGTCTTTGATGGCCCTGGCTGGGCACTCAGTTGGTTAGAACATTGTCCTGATATGCCAAGGTTGTGGGTTTGACCCCTGGTTAGGGCACATACAAGAATCAACCAGTGAATGCATAAGTGGAACAAAAATGTATGTGTTTTTTCTCTCTCTCTCTCTCCCCCTCTAAAATCAATCAATTAAAAAAATATTAAGCAAAACATGACTTCCGCCAAGATGGAGGCATAGGTGGAGAAGCCATGCTTTCTCTCACAACCAAGTTTAGAGAGAACTAAATATTAGCAACAGAAAACACAGCCAGAACACAGAAAATTGAACTTTTCGGAAATCTGATAACAACAAATTCTTCAGCCTGACTGCTAAGAGGGGCGAAACCAGCAGCTGTCGGAGCAGGGTTGCACAGAAAAACTCGGTCAGACGACTTGGGCGCGCGGAACCCAGGCGCAGGGTTGGACCTAGTAAGCGACTCAGTGAGTGACCGCGGGGAAACAGCGAGGAAGCAGGGCTGCGGGTTGACTGTGGTCGTGCTTTCCTGTGCAGATAGACAAGCGAGGGAGTGGGCGGTGAGACTGAGCAGGTCCCACGGCAGGCAGCACAGGGCACCGCCAATTCCCTGCTCTGGCCCCCGCCTCCACTTACAGTGTCATAACCCAGCGACCTGAGTGTCCCCGCCCTGGTGAACCGCCTAAGGCTCTGCTCCTCACCCAGCTGCGAGAAACAGCAGAGGGGGTTGCCATTTCCCCGCTCTGACCACGCCCCCACATACAGCGTCACAACCAAGCAACCTGAGAGTCCAAGGCTCCGCTACTCCTACTTAACGGGCGCAAACAGACCAAAAATGGCTCAAGAAGATCTCAAAGCCCCAGAGCCTATAAATCTAAGTGATGAAGAAATAGCAAAACTCTCAGACACACAGTTTAAAACACTGGTGATCAGGATCCTCACAGAACTGGTTGATTATAGCCACAAATTAGACAAACGTATGAAGGCGAAACTAATTGAAATGAATGGAATTGCACAGGAAACCAGTAGTGATGAAAAGGAAACTGGGACTCAAATCAATGGAGTGGACCAGAAGAAAGCAAATAATGGCCAAACAGAAAAGAGTGAAGAAGCAAGAATTCAAAAAAATGAGGAGAGTCTTAGGAACCTCCAGGACATCTTTAAACGCTCCAACATCCGAATTATAGGGGCACCAGAAGGGGGAAAGGAACAGCCACCAGTGGAAAACTTATTTGAACAAATAATAAAGGAGAATTTCCCCAATCTGGCAAAGGAAATAGACTTCCAGGAAATCCAGGAAGCTCAGAGAGTCCCAAAGAAGTTGGACCCAAGAAGCATCACACCAAGGCACATCATAATTACATTAGCCAAGATTAAAATGAAGGAGAGAATCCTAGAAGCAGCAAGAGATAAGGGGACAGTCACCTACAAAGGAGTCCCCATCAGACTGTCAGCTGATTTCTCAAAAGAGACCTTATAGGCAAGAAGGGGCTGGAAAGAGGTATTCCAAGTCATGAAATCCAAAGACCTACAACCAAGATTGCTCTATCCAGCAAAACTTTCATTTAGAATGGAAGGACAGATAAAGTGCTTCTCAGATAAGATCAGATTCAAGGAGTTCATCATCACCAAGCCCTTATTATATGAAATGTTAAAGGGACTTGTCTAAGAAAAAGAAGTTAAAAAAACATGAACAGTGAAAGGACAGCAAACTCATAGTTATTAAGAACCACACCTAAAACAAAAGCAAACTAAAAGGACAGCTAGATCAGGAGTGGAAACATAGAAATGAAGATCTCAAGTAGTGTTAGCAGTAGGAGAGTGGGAGGAGGAGAAGGGGGGAGAAGGTACAGAAAATAAGCATAAACAGTAGATAGAAAATTGATGGGGGGACAAGAATAGTATGGGAAATATAGAATCTAAAGAACTTGAGACACATGGTCATAAACTAAAGGGGGGTAATGGTGGGGATGGGGGGTAGGGTGGAGGGGAATGAAGGGAATAGAACAACTGTAATGGCATAATCAATAAAAAAATAAATTAAAAAAACATTAAGAAAAGAATGTCTTTGATGGAGCAATAAAAATTATTACTTGTATTTAACCTTGACCCTTGAGTATACATGTGTTTATAGCATTTTGTGTGATAAAAGGGGAAATACATATAAAGCCCTTTTTGCTGCACACAGAAATTTGATGGTTGTTTTTGAAAGCACATATGTCATTGATTGTAAGCCACTTTTTTTCTAGATTACCAATTTTATGTGAACTAACAAAAGACAGGTGATCTGTGGTTATTCAGACTTGGACATTTGGCAGATATTTTCTCCTAAGTAAATAAAGTGAGCCAGTCACTTTAGGGACAGATAACTAACAATATTGTGGCCAGTGATAAAATTCAAGCTTTCAAGTGAAAACTAGAAATTTTTATCTTTACTATGAATTTGACAGGTCCTAATGTTTACTTTTCTGGTATCAATATTGACATTAATAAAATTATTTGATATTTTATAGTGAATGTGAACTTCCAATATTTTCAAAATGACTAATGTATGAAGTTAGAAAATCATGCACCAGTATAAGATCCATGCAAAATACAAGATACAATAACAGAATTTATGTAATAGAGCAGGGGTTTTTAAAGTATACAATGCCTGACTATTTAGTCAGGGGCACTGACCCCTTTTCCTTTAGACTGTTAAATAAAAAATGACAACAGCCAACACAACACTAGCTGTCTGGTGTGAATGAATAAAAATTATACCTATTTTTTTGTCAGATCAGCAAAAAAATTTGTGTGTGCCACAGAATTTTAGTAATTAGTTTATTTATGTATGCCATGAGGTGAAAAATGTTGAAAATCACTGTAATAGAGTATGGCAGTTTATATGGTTTCGGACTCCACATTGTAGCTAACCTTTACAAACTACCATGATTATAAAGGAGTCCTGAGACTAAAAAGTTCAGTACTGTACTATAAGGTGCAGCTGGAAGAGTAGGTTTATAAAATAATTCATGTAGTAAGTTCATAGAGAGCTTATTTGGCCATGAGATATAGAGAAAGTAAATGTAGGGTAGCATCAGTATTCTGAAAGGATGTAGAAGGAAAGGGAGTGGATTTATTTATTGATTGATTTTAGAGAGAGGAAGGGAGAGAGAAGGGGAACATCAATTTGTTATCCCACGTTTTTATGCATTCATTGATTGCTTCTTGTATGTACCCTGACTGGTTATCAAACCTGCAACCTTGGTGTATTGGGACAATGCTCTAATGAGCTACTTGGCAAGGGACTTGGACTTAAGTTTAAGATAGATTTTGCCTATGTCAGAATTTCTCTTAAGGCTAGGTCTGTGCCTGGGAAAGAGATAGCTAAATGTGTGTTATTTTCCTCCCTTCTGTCCACATGGCTTTCCTCAAAACTCAGGAACAATATGTGTTATGCGACTTTTATGGTATCCTTTATTTAGCATGGGCTCAGCAAACTTCCTCTTAAGGACTAGATGGGCTATTTCTGTTGCAACTCAGGTCTGCTGTTGTAGCACAAGAGCAGTAAATGAATGGGCGTAGCTATGTTCCAATAAAACTTTTTATACACATAGTTTGCCAGCCTCTGGTCCTAGGACATTAACTATTACTATGGTTTTATTATTACATGGAGATACATGTTTCCAGCTTCAAACAACTGACGCATTTACAAGTCAGTTGTTACTTTGAGAACTGTTCATATGTGAATGCTAGTTTTCCACTGAGCTTATAAAATTGGTGGTTATTTTTTATTAATCCTCTAAATATAATGAATTTATAAAACAGGAGATCTTCGGCTTTGGAGAATTTGACATTTGACTGATCTGGAAAGTCTTCATGTGTCAATTTGTAATTTTGTTCATACATAAACGTGTCAAATTAAACATCAAGATAGGTGCTGTCTCAATAGCCACATGTGGTTGTTGAGCACTTTTGTGATATGATTGGTCCAAATTAAAATGTATTGTAAGTATGAAATACATACAGATTTGAAGACCTAGTATGGGAAAGGGGAATATTAAAATATCTTGTTTTTTAAATATGGACTATATGTTAAAATGTAAACATTTTAGATGTATTGAGTTTAATACAATATTAAAGTTAGCATCAATTGTTTTGCTTTTTACTAGATGCTGTTACTAGGAGTTTAAAAACTCATTTGTGTCCTTTACATATATTTCTGCAGTGCTGATGTAGATTGCTCATTTGACTCGCACTTGGTCTGACATTTTATTCACATTTTGCTTTGTCCTAAAAAGTGTTTTGAGATCCTTACTCTGGATTGGTTTGGAAATATAGGCTTGCACAATGAGTTAGTTTAAGTTCTTAACTTTCACTGTGTGTATACAAAGGGAAATAGTTATATTAAAATGGTAGAGTTATGGCTGCCTTTTATACCAAATGTCCTTAAATTAATTCTACAGTTTAAAAGTTGTGGAGAGAGAGGGATTTTGAATATCAGCATATTTTAACCTGATTTTCTGTTTATTTTTGGAATGTAGCTTGTAGACCCTGGAGTTAAAGCATGGACACCTACCAAAGGAAAACAGAACGTGATCATGTTTGTTGGATTGCAAGGGAGTGGTAAAACTACCACATGTTCAAAGGTAAATTTACTTAATTTTAAAATAAGGTTGTGAAGAAGATATTTGTATAAATAAAATTTTATGTTAAAGCCAGTCTTTATAGTATTGTTGCTTTACGGTTTTGTGTTACTTGATGTATCTAGTATGTATTTGTAATAGCTTTTTGTAGGATAGGAAAAAGTAATCCCACAGTCTCTCTTGTAAGAATGATAGACTTTAATATAACTATGCTATTTCTTTTACCAGAAAGACTTCCTGTCCTTTAAAAGAGATGAGTATATGGTTTTTTAGAGGGAAAAAATGGAAAGTTTACCTTATCTCTGATGGCTCAAGACTCCCTTTTCAGTGTCATACCCAGCATAATACAGATCTTTATTTTGCTTATCCTTATGCTAATTTTTAATTCATTATACTACCCTTTCCTCCAGAATTGGGTGCCTCAACTTTGTTACCACATTTTGCTTCACAATCATCAACTGTGTTATAGTTTAGAAAAAGGCAAAGAATTATTTCATAGTGGATTATGTGATTATTTATATTTAATTAACACTAATAGTCATTAATATTTTCTATTATAGTCATTTGTTGCTTGATCATTTTATATCCTTTGAATGTGATTTATGGCAGTTAGAATTTAAACTATGTATTTAGGAAATTTGCTGTATTCAAAATTTAATAATACTACTCTTAGGAGAATATGAGTAGTTTTACTTTATTCCTAAATAACAAGGGTAAACAGAAAAATTATATAATACTTTGTATTTATTGATATTATATATTTTTAATCTCCCTTTTCCAGTTAGCTTATTATTACCAGAGGAAAGGTTGGAAGACCTGTTTGATATGTGCAGACACATTCAGAGCAGGTAATGTGTTGAAATTTGAAGATTTGTTTTCTGTAATTTTTATTTTTAAGTTTGAGGACTCATTAACTCTTTTTCTCATAGGGGCTTTTGACCAACTAAAACAGAATGCTACTAAAGCAAGAATTCCATTCTATGGAAGGTAGGTTTTTGTTTTTTTTTTTAATTTTGATACTCAGCTGCCTCCTCTTGTCTATCTTTATTTTATGCTATCTAGTCACATCATAATCTATACTTAATAAACTTAAATCCTCTCTGGAACAAAGTTGGGATATATTTAATAGTGTTAACTTTTATTACAACGTGACTGTTCTGATTCAGCCTTTAATATAACTATGCTGTTAACATTGTTTACTTTTTAATTCTGCCTTGCCTGCTTATCATCCTGCCTTTGCATACTTTCTGACCTCCTTCTGCTTCTCTAGTCATTTTATTTCTGTCAAGACTTATCCGAAGCATTCCTCCATTAAACACACAGTGGTGAATTCTATGCTGTCTCTTCCTTCAGTATATCATTTTTAAAAGTTTGATCACCTTAAAATGGCTTATAATCTACAGATATTTTAGGGATTCTGATCATTGCTCAGTTCCTTTTATACATTGCTATTCTGTGAGGTAGTTTGCATATGTTATGATGATTAATTAAAAGAAATGAATCCTCAAGCCCTGGCTGGTGTAGCTCAGTGCATTGAGCACAGGCCTGCGAATCAAAGGGTTGCAGGTTTGATTCCCAGTCAGGACACATGCCTGGGTTGCTGGCCTGGTCCCCAGTAGGGGGTGTGCAAGAGGCAACCCTCTACACATTGATGTTTCTCTCCCTCTCTTTCTCCTTCCCTTCCCCTCTCCCTAAAAAATAAATAAAATCTTTAAAAAATTTTTATGTCCTTACCAGTAATTTTCTTCAATTAAATCTCACACACATTCTTATTAAGTGCATTTCTACTAAATTTGTAGTGTTAATTTTGGGGGGAAACTTTTTTTCTACATTATATATCTTTTCACTTGACAGTATCAATATGTATAAAAAGTTGCCACTAATCAATATTTGAGGATTGTGAAATAGGAATGAAATTTAACTTTGTGGAAGCCATTTTCATTTTAAAAACCAAGTCTAAATGATCAGACCATTTGATCCAAGTTCAGCCTGTAGAAGTGTGTCATAACAATTTCAAAGAAACAGCACTACTGTATTTCTCATATCAGCTGTATTTTTAATAACAAGAAATTGGAAAGACCTTAAATGGCCTATAATAAGGCAATTATTTAATAAATGATAGCTTAGCCATCTGATGGAGTGCTATATAGCCCAGAAGTCATGTTTTACAGGAACATTTAATGGTTTTTGTAAGGCTTACAAAAGGATATAAGTGGGAAAGCATGTGTGAAACCCTAGGTAGCACAAATTCAATTACTATACTAAAGGACATGTGTGAAACACTAATTAACATAACTTCAATTACTATATTTAAAAAATGAAAGGAAACACAACTTATTCAGAAAAGTCATGCAGCAGAATCATATAGGATTTTGTAATTGGGAAACTCGATACTCCTTCATGCTGATCTAGAAGTAAATTCAAGAGTCTCTGGCCCCCAAAGCTCACCTGAGCTCCGCCTCTTGTGCCCCCTCTCTAGTCTTCCACAAAACCAGTCCCTGGTGCCAAAAAAATTGGGGACTGTGGAGTAAATTGCTATATTTAATATTTATTAGAGTTTATTCTTCTAAACTGAGATTGAGATCATTATGGCTTTTCCAGAACAAGTTAAAGGTATACTAACAATTTCCAAATTACTAGTATTTGGAAATTTTGTGTTGTGGTTGTTCAATCATTTGTCCATGTTAAATAGCTACACAGAAATGGATCCTGTTATCATTGCCTCGGAAGGAGTGGAGAAATTCAAAAATGAAAATTTTGAAATTATTATTGTTGATACAAGTGGACGTCATAAACAAGAAGACTCTTTGTTTGAAGAAATGCTTCAAGTTGCTAATGCTATAGTAAGTAGCTTCAATTTAACATTATAAAGACTGGTTAATTTAATTTTAAACCTGATTGAGTTTACAATCCATAGAAATTATTTTTTGCCTGTAAAACAGATTCCAAGTAATTTATTTTTGTTTTGGTCACCTTTCTCTCTATGATAAGGACTTAATATTCTCTACATTAAGTATAAAATTTTCATGAGCCGGTATCAGAAAAAGAATTTTCTACCTCATTCATCTTATTAGCATGAATGAAAAAACATAACAAAAAAATTTAAGAATTAACCTTTGATAGCTATTGAATTTCCTTTTTATAAATATTTAAATTAAATTAGAAGCATTTAGTTTAAGGTGAATTTTCAAAGATTTTCAAAATGAAGCATTTAAAAATATTAACCATCATTTAGTGTCTCATTAAAATTGAGATGGAGCCCTGCCTGGCGTGGCTTAGTGGGTTGGGCGTCACACCCGGAACTGAGGGATCACCAGTTCCATTTCCTGTCAAGGCACACGTCTGGGTTACTGATGGGTCTCTGGTTGGGGGCATGCAAGAGGTTGATGTTTCTCTCATTGATGTTTCTCTTCCTCTTTCTCCCTTCCTTCCCCCTCTCTAAAAGTAAATTTTTAAAAATCTTAAAAAAAATTAAAATAAAATTGTGATTGAAGTAATTTGAAGAGAAGGAGCTGTTTATAGCTAATTTGTAGCCCATATTATAAACCAATGTTTTGCCATTGGGGTGGAGGCAAAAATTGTTTGGCTAATGATTAATGCTAGTTAGTTCCTTTTTAGCTATTCTATTGTTTTGACCTATTTCCCTAGAACTAACGGAAATAGCCTCACCTCTATTGTATTCACTTTGGTTTCTGTGTAAGCTACTACTTTTTATTTTTCTCTGATTTACTTTTGCTCTTCTCTTTGCCGAGAATGTGATTCTTCCAGATCTTTGTATAACTTATTTCTGTTTATGTATGCCTTGGCTCACATGATACCTCTAAAGAGGCCTTCCTTGACTACTGTAACTAAAGAAGTCTTCCACACCTCAAAACTGATACTCTTTATCCCATTTTAATTGTTTTGTACACTTGAAATGTTTGTCTATTTCCAGTTTCCTCTGACTAGAATGTAAGTTCGATGAGGAGAACTTAGAACTTAGGTTCTGAGACAAAGATATAAATGGTGCCTAATGCATAGTACTACCTCAATAAATATTTATTGATTGAATGAGTAATTGTAATAAATATTTTACATAGCTTCTAATGATGAAATTGCTGAAGGTCAGTAAAAATATGTATACTTTCTATTTATATTTTCTAGCAACCTGATAACATTGTTTATGTGATGGATGCCTCCATTGGGCAGGCTTGTGAAGCCCAGGCTAAGGCTTTTAAAGATAAAGTAGATGTAGCCTCAGTAATAGTGACAAAACTTGATGGCCATGCAAAAGGTGGAGGTGCACTCAGTGCGTGAGTATCATTGATGCTCTTGTCCTATATCTTAAGCTTATATGGTGTGTGTGTATGTGTGTGTGTATGACTTTCGTATTGATCATTTAAAATATGCCCCAATATTGAACCTAATATGATCTATAAAAAAAGTTTAAATAGAAGCACAGTTTTGGAGTTGCTAGAAACTTGAGCTATGTACCTTTGTCTAGTTAGCTTTGAAAGAAGTGAAAAAATTGTTTTCCTTTTATGTTTTCTTTTTGTAGAGTTGCTGCCACAAAAAGTCCAATTATTTTCATTGGTACAGGGGAACATATAGATGACTTTGAACCTTTCAAAACACAGCCTTTCATTAGCAAACTTCTTGGTATGTATGCTGGGGGGATACACACAAATCTCCAAGAAATAATGTGGATCTTTAGGACAGATTAGGATTGTAATCCTGCCCTCTCACTAACTAGTTCAGGAAAATCATTTTCTTCCATGATTTATCTTCCTCACTTGTCAAATAAGGATGATGATTATTAGAGTGGTAACATGAGTTATTAGATGGCACGTTCTTTGGGAAAGTTTTAGAGCACAATACAAAAATAAGTGGTTGTAGTAATAGCAGTGGTAATGGCAGTAAAACTTCTGTAGTGTCTCCGGGTGTTGTAGAGAGCGTGGAATATGGAATTAGACCCTGGGCTTTGTCACTGAACCTCTCTGGCTTGTTTTTGCACCTATAAAGGGAAATAGAAACAACAGAGTCTATCTCACATGGTTATTACATATGTGCATGCAGTTTGTATAATATAAAGCAGGGTGTACTATTGTTAATTCTACTTTTTTTGATATTACAGGTATGGGTGACATTGAAGGACTGATAGACAAAGTCAATGAGTTGAAGTTGGATGACAATGAAGCACTTATAGAGAAGTTGAAGCATGGTATAATGAGTAGCCAAAAGCATTTAATCTCAGATAGCTTCTCTTATTTTCTTATTAATAAAGCTAGTCTTATTTTGTTTGAAATAATAAGTCTATTATGAAAGTCAGTTCCTCAGATGTTCTATTTTTAGGTGATTTATGTGCAAACCATTTTAAATCTCAGGCATCTGAGCAATTATGAAATATGTTTTGTTTTTTCTTGTAATCAAAATTTTTTTAAGTTAAAATTGAGATTTTCATTGGGTTCCTTGAAGTAAAACAGGTTAAAAGTTAGAATACTCTTTTTTAATCTACTTACAAATTATGTATATATGATAAAATACATAATAAGAAAAGATATGCATAGCCCATGGATACACACAATAGTGTGGTGAAGGCCTAGGGAGATGGGGGCAGGGCTGGGTGGAGGTGAGCAAAGTGTGAGGAAATGGGAAACATCTGTAATAGTGTCAGCAATAAAAACAAAGAATGAAATTAAATACACAAGTATATTTTCTTCACTCCACGTTGAAATAGAGAAGTGTATCATTGTAAGAGCTCAGGTTCTTAAATCTAACATATAACTATTTTAAATTACTTAACTTCAATTTTCTTATCTATGAAAAGTAGATCATACTGAGTATCTTCTTCATAGAGTTATGAAGATTAAATTATCTGATGTATGTAAATGTCCAGCACATCAGGAATATTCAACGTGTATTATTGATCAGTTTAGTTTTTCTCAAAAAAGTATCACTCTTAATTTCCATGGTCATATGCTATCTTGCCTTTTTGTGCCTTCTAACTCATCTTGTTAGGTACCTAGGCATTTACCTCTGTCTTTAATGTTGGTGTTTTTCAGGGATCATTTTATGCCATCTTCTTTCTCTATACCTCTTACTCATGTCTATATGTTTATAGACCATTCTTGGATGTTTTATAGGTAGTTCAGATTCAACATGTCCATATCTTCCCATCTCACTCCATTGTCATCATCAATCAATGATAACATTATTTGTCTTTTTGCCTGTCATAAACTTGGATGTTGTCATTGACTCTGATCTCTTCCTTGTTCAGTCGATCCCTTTTCCCATCATTCAGTTAGTCCTAATGATTGATTTTACCTCCTAATTATCTCCATTCCATCCCCTTCTCTCTAGCTGCTCTGCATCTATGCAAGTTTATCTTTTGCCTGGATTGTTTATTCTGTCTTTTAACATTTTCTAGCTTCATGTACTCTTTCACTTGAGTCAATTTTTTTATACTGCAGCCAAAATGGTCTTTCAGAATGCAAATCTGATTTCATTACTGCCTTTCTTAAAATCTTTTCAGCAGCTTCCCATTGCTCTTTGTTTAAATGACTGCCATCTAGCTCACATCTTTCATGTCATGTTTTGGTATGGTTCTTAGCATTCCATGTGCTAGTCAGGCTGAGTTTCTCTTGGTTTCTCAAAGGTGTATTGCTGTCTCAGCTCTGGGACTTTGCCCTTGCACATTGCCTATTAGACAGGTATCTCTCTTCCTTCTACCCTCCTCTCCTCAGCCAAACTGGCTAACTTCTACTGACACTTCAGGTCTCACCCAAAAGGTCTTACAGGGACGTTTTACCTGCTTCCTAGGCTAAGAACAACCCTTTGCTCTTTATTCCCATTGCATTCTGTAGTTGTTGTATTATTCATCACAATTACTTGATGTCTGTCTTTCCTGCTTGAAGATGAAGGGAGGTTTCACAGTTCTGTTTTTTATCTTTTATGTTCACAGTACCTAGCTCAGTTTCTGGCACTCAGTAGATCTTTAGTAAATATTTGTTAAATGAATTAATCTATCCTTTATTGCCTGAATCTTTCTGCCTGCTTTCCACTATCTAACTAGCCCTACCACTGCTTTTGCTACTACACTAAACTGGATAATATATTCCTAGTAAGTCTGCTTTCTCACCCCTGGGTCATTCCTTATGTCTCTCCATATTTTGCTTCTACTCTTAATATTCTATTCAACTCTGAGGTCACTAAGGGTCTTCTAATTTGTAAATGTAGTGACCTTTCTTTTTCCTTGGTTCCCAATATTTTAACAGTGTTATCTGCCTTTTCTATTTTCAAACTTCATTTGGATGCCATGACAGTAGATTTCCTATATTATTATAGCTTCAATTGTCACATCTCTATAATGGCCAAGTAAGTATTTCAGCCTTAACCTTCTCTACTACTGTTTAATTCTGCATTTTTAGCTGCCTGCTGTAACATTTCTTTTTAAGGTATTGTACCGCCACTTCAAATTCAGAATGCCTAAACCAAATACATTTTCCATTTGTATCTTTAGGACATAAATAGAAAGTACTTTTTCTCCTTTGTCTTGTTAGTTCAGTTTTTTAGTTGAAGTTAAGTTGCATGTGATTAAATGCTCTGGTTGTAAGGATATTATTTTATCACTTTTGACAAATGTTCAGTAATCCATACTCCATCATGAAACAACATTTCCATTACTCTAGAAAGTTTATTCCCCTTCCCAGTAAACCATATTATAGGAATCCTAGAGTACATCTTTTTTTTTTCTGTCTGATTTCTTTGACTCAGGATAATATTTTTGTATTAGTTCATATAGTTGTACTTGTAGCCTGTTCTTTATTGCTGAGTAGTATGTCATTGACAGTCTACCCATTTTCCAGTTTATGAACTTCTAAGCTGTTTAAGAAACTCCAAATAATCATCTAAAGTGTTTGCCATTTTACATTCTCACCAGCAATATATGAAAGTTCTGCTTTTTCCACATCTTTTTTGTTTGTCTGTTTTGTTCATTAAATTCCGCATATAAGTGAAATTATCTGGTACTTGTCTTTCTCTGACTGGCTTATTTCACTTAGCATAATACTCTCCAGGCCCATCTATGCTGTTGCAAAAGGTAAGATTTCCTTCATTTTTACAGCTGAGTAGTATTCTATTGTGTAAATGTACCACAGCATTTGTATCCACTCATCTAATTGGTATTTGGACTGTGTCCATATCTTGGCTTTTGTAAGTAGTGCTGCAGTGAAAATAGGGGTGCATATGTTCTTTCAAATCAGTATTTTGGGTTTCTTCAAATATATTCCCATAAATGGAATCACTGAGTCATAGGCAGTTCTATTTTTAATTTTTTGAGGAAAATTCCATACTATTTTCCACAGAGGCTGCACCAGTCTGCACTCCCACCAACAGTGTACAAGGATTCCCCTTTCTCCACATCCTCACCAGCACTTGTTTGTTGATTTATTGATGACAGCCATTCTGATAGGTGTGAGGTGATACCTGAATGTGGTTTTAATTTGCATTTCTCTGGTGATTAGTGATGTTGAGCATCTTTTCATACGTTTATTAGCCCATCTGTATCTCATTGCTGGAAAAGTGTCTATTCAGGTCCTTTATTCATTTTTTTTAACTAGATTTTTTGTTTTTTGGTGTTGAGTTGTATAAGTCTTTTATAAATTTTGGAAATTAACCTCTTATCAGATGTATCATAAATATGTTCTCCCATTCTGTGGGTTGTCTTTTCATTTTGTTTTGGTTTCCTTTGCTGAGCAAAAAATTTTTAGTTTGATGTAGTCCTATTTGTTTACTTTTTGTTGTTTCTCTTGTCCAAGGAGATATATCAGAAAAAATATTGCTACAAGAAATGTCTGAGATTCTACTGCCTATGTTTTCTTCTAGGTTTTTGTGGTTTACAGTCCAAGTCTATAATCCATTTTGAGTTTATTCTTGTGTATCATATAAGGTGGTCTAGTTTCACTTTTTGCATGTATTTATCCATTTTTCCAACACCATTTATGGAATAGACTGTCTTTACCTTATTATATGTTCTTGCCTCCTTTTTGAAATATTAATTGACCATAAAGGTATGAGGTTATTTCTGGGCTCTCTATTCTGTTCTGTTGTTCTATATGTCTATATTTATTCCAGTACCATGCTATTTTGATTACTGTGGCATTATAGTAGAGTTTGATATCAGGTAGTGTAAATCCTCCAATTTGGTTCTTCTCTCTCAAGATTGCTGTAGGCTCCACATTCTTTAAGTTTTGGTGTTGCCAGCCTTTTTAAGTTTAGTCATCCTAGTTGGTGGTATTTGTCTGCCATGTTTTCAAGTTTCTTGTGTATTTGTTTATTCCATTTTCTCTGATAGAATGCAAGCTTCTCAAGGATAGGTCTGAGTATCTGTATATTCTCCACTGCATCCTATGATCTTATATATAGTAACTGCTCAATAAATATTTATTGAGCCCAAAATATTTATATATTTTATAAGTGTGCTTCAAAGTGAACCTTTGATTAAGGAAAAGATTAGTTTTATTAAATGAAATGTACATTCTCTAATATATCTGACTCATTTATATTGTATTTCAGGTCAGTTTACGTTGCGAGATATGTATGAACAATTTCAAAATATCATGAAAATGGGCCCCTTCAGTCAAATCTTGGTCAGTTATCCTAAAAAGTTTTTTCTGACTTTCTTTTGTTTTTCATTAAAATTTCTAAGAAGATGAACTAGCTTTAATTATTTTTAATAATTGGGTAAAGTACATAATATGTACTTTAAAAACTTAATGTTAAGCCTGGACCGTTATGTCTTGGTTGGGTGTCATCTTGCAAAGCAAAAGGTCTCTGGTTCAATTCCCTAGCCAAGGCACATGCCTGAGCTATGGGTTCAGTGAAGTTTGAACCGATCGATGTTTCTCTCATGTTGATGTTTCTCTCATTCCCTTCTCCACTCTCTAAAAACAAATAAATAAAATCTAAAAAAGAAAAATTTGTGTCAATTATTAAAGCCACTAATTAAATGTCAACATTCTGAGCAATTAATCTCAAGCTATTACTGATTTTATATTTAAATATATCTGTTTTAGGGTATGATTCCTGGTTTTGGAACAGATTTTATGAGCAAAGGAAATGAACAGGAGTCAATGGCAAGGCTAAAGAAATTAATGACGATAATGGATAGTATGAATGATCAAGGTAAGATGGTAGATTACTCGTTCTAAATATCAGCATGTTGAAAGTTTCACTGTGTTCCTGTGGACAAGATGGGGAAAAATTTAAACTGCAGGATTTTTGTTAGGTAGATTTTGTATTTGTTTGAAAGCTCTTACTCATAGGTTAATGATTATTAGATGAACATCTTTGAGAGAAAGTTCCAGTGCACTGCTTCCCCAGATGAGTTCCATAGAATGAACACTAGTTTTTCGTGATGTTGGTAGAATTTAAAAGGGGAGTTCTGTAGTCAAATAAATTTGGTGAAGTGCTGAGTTAAAAATAAACTAATGAGTTTATTTATTATAAGTCTCCTCAGAGTTCTAATATGCTAACATGAAATGGGATTTGTGAAAGAGGGCTACTGTAAACAATATTTGCCAACTTATTTTGCTCTGAAACTGATTGTTCATTTTTCAGTCTTCTCACATAAAGTACATCACTCTCTCTTTCTAGTCCTTTTTTATCACTGCCTTCTACGCTTCAGGCCTTTTATGTGGTCCTCATTTCGTTAGCATTTCTAGTCCCGTTCCTTTCTCTTTTTACTTGTTTTTAAGCATCCTTTCTGATTCAGTACAGCAGGTACACCAAATATATATATATATATTATAAATTACATATTTATATATAAAATATATATAATATATTATATATAAAAATATATAATATATTTATATATATATATATATATATATATTTAAAGGCATTCGACTCTACCACTTGACCTGGCTTCGTTTACAAAGAAATACAGGCTTTGGGCATTGGATTCCTTTTCTCTTTGGCTAACTTACCTGTAAGATTGTGACAGCCATCACAGACTGTTTTTCAAGCTCTTTTAAGGACCTCCCACCATCAATAAAATCCTTTCCTCTGTCTCTAGTCTCTCTATACCTACTGACTTATTTTCCCCTTTGGTATATACATATTCTTAAATTCACATTTTCTGGGCTTTACTTCTCCCTCATTTTTACTCCATGTCTCTTTTCATTCAAGCTTCTTAGAAGAATAGTTTATATTGTTCTTGAACTACTGAAATCTGGCCTCTGTCCCCACCATAACTCTGAAATAGACCATGCAAAGATCTCCAATAACCTTCTGCTGGTCTACTCCAATGGATATGCTTTTCAATCTCTTTCTTGACCTTTACAACATTGGCTGCTAATCAGCTTTTTTTCTTAGTTTCTAGTATATCATCTTCCTACTTTAACCCTTACCTTTCTTGTTAACTCACTCTCTTTCACTGGTGTCTTTCTTGGTCTCCCTCTTAAGTGAGTATATGCCACAGAGTTTTGTCCTCAGGTAGTGTTTCTTATTATTCTTCTCATTTTTTTCTTTTATTTCCCACATCTATGCTTTGTCTACTACCTAATTGGTTGTTCATTTCTTGTAGTCTCTACCTCTTTCTTTGAGCTCTAGGCTTTCATAGTAACTTAAATAAGATTGTGTTTTTCTTATTTCTGTATCTTCAACACTGCAAAAAGTTTTGCATATAGAATTAATAATTGCAGCCATATCTAGATTACTTACTCTGTCCAAGGCACTGTCCTTAGTGCTTAACATACATTAATCCACTTAATTTTCACAACTATTAAGGGGTAATTCTGAGGTCAAAATCCATTGTTATCTAGCTTTTGCAGATCAGGAAACTGAGATACAGGGAAGTTGAATAATTTCCTCACTAGCCAAAGAGTTGAGGGGCTGGTCTTCAAACTCAATTATTCGGGCTCAGGAGTCTACAGTCTGGATCACCTTCTTTCTAGGTACTCAGTAAATGGTGGGTGGACATCTCTGTTTTCATGTTTGAAAGTTTTCTGAGGCATATCAAATCCAAAATGTAGTGCTTCTCCCTTGGTGAGTGATACTTCCATCTATGTACCCAGTCGTGCAAGCTAGAAACTGGGGTCAACTTAGATTTATATCCTTGCTGATTTTCTATCTAGTGGTTCTATTGATTGTGGAGATAAAGTATTGAAGTGCCTAACTTTTCTCTTTTCAGTGGTGCCAGTTTTGCTTTATGTATTTTGAAGCTTTTTTTGTTGGCTGCATACACATTTAGAATTGTTGTGTCATCTTGGTTAGTTGACCCTTTATCATTATGTGTGTAATGTCCTCCTTTGTCCCTGACCTGCCTTGGCATTGATACCACTTCAGCTTTCTTCTGATTAGTTTCTTTGGCATTGTGTATTTTTTCCATTCTTTTACTTTTAACCCATCTATATCATATTTGAAGTGAGTTTCATGTCAACCGCATGTAATTGGGTTTTTTTTTTAATACATTCTGATAATCTCTCTTAACTGATATATTATTAATCATATATTAGGACTTAGTTCTGCCATTTTATTATTCTTTTTATTCCCTCTGATTTTGTTCATCTTCTTTCTCTTTTTTAATTGCCTGTGGGTTACTCGAACACTTTTAATGTACCTATGATGTTTTTGAGGGTACCTCTGAATAGTTTTCTTGGTGGTTGCGCTAGGTGTTACAATATACATACATACTTAACTTATTACATGTTTTGTATCCATGCTTTACTGTTACAAGTGGAATATAAAAACCTAAACATCATTTCAGATTTTAGTGAGTTCTGCTTCCTAAATTCTTCTCATATATTCCCTGTTCTTGCCTCTGTATTCCTTGCATTATTCCATACATTCATCATTTCTTACCTGGATTTGCTACAGTAGCCTCTTAACATTTCTCTTTCTCTTTTTCAGTTCTCTTTTCAATCTTTCTTCCTAACTGCCACAAGAATGATCTTTCTAAATGTAACAGTTCTGGGGTCAAAATCTTTCAGTGGTTATTTGTCTTTATGATGAATTCTAAATTTCTAAGCCTGGCATATAAATTCTGTTATAACCTTATCCTTACCTACTTTTGCAAATTCTTAAATCCCAGCTCTTACCCATGCTTGGTTTCCTCTACACACAATTATTACTCTTGGAAGCCACATTCTACTTCCTAGAATGTCCCTTGCTCCTTTCTCTTCTGTACTTAACTCCAACTTGTCCTTCAGGACTACTCAGAAACTACCACATGGAGCCTTTCCTGATTTCCTTGCTTCTTTACATTACATCTCCTTCTGCTGTTTGCTTAACTCTGTTGTATTACTTACTATGATGTGCCATTACTAGGTTATCTTTTTTCTCTCTGTGTGAGCTCTTGAAAGGAATATGAGGCACATTTCCTAAATATTTTATAGTGAAGATGTGGCTTAAAAGTGCATTTATGAAATGGATTTACAGGTTTTAATGGACTATAAGCTTCTTATGAAGCAATTTAATCTTTATTTGTGTTGTATTGGTAATCAAACTTCACCTGGATTTCAGTTCACTCTAAACAGTAAGCTTAGAGGGCATAAACAAATAAAAAGTTGTATTTAGAAAAATCAGTGTGATAAATGAGACCCTAAACCATATTATAAGAGAAACAGTCAAAAGACTTGGATATATTTGTCACCTAGAAAATTCATAGGTGACATGTACCCCTCAAATATTTGAAAGCCTTATTCTTTGTGCTTAGAAAGGAGATATTTATGCAAATAGGAGGAAGTACCAGGCAAACATATTTCATTTTAATTTGTGAAAAGGTTTTCCATAATTATAGATAAAATAGAATGGCAAAGATTGCCTTATTTTAGATAGTGGGTCTTCTCTCCTGGGGATATCTAACCCTGAGGCTAGATGACCACTTACTGGGGGATGTCATAGAGAGCATGCAGACAGAATGAGAATTTTGACTAAAGGTCATCTCCTTTCTGAGATTGTATGCAATTAACACCAGGAGGATGACCTCATATTCTAAGAGTTATCAAAACACTGAAGCAAATTAATTTATTTTTTATGTTATAGAAAGGATTAAAATGCTAGTAGTAATTACTTGGTTATAGGAAATATAACAGTTATTCTTTTGATTATGGGTAGAACTACCTATTTCTGTTTGCCTATATGCCTGAACTTATGATTTATAGGTTAATAGTATTTAGAGATAAGGTATGCACTTTTGTTCTTTTTTGAAATGTACCTTTGTGCTCTGAGGAGCAGTTAGGTATGAGATATAGAAAGGGAGGGTGGGCATGGATCGCAGAGGTTTTTAGAAGGTTTTGTGTTACTTCAACAGTAGGGTAAAGTATGTGTGTTTTTCCTTAGCTTATGAATATTATGGATATTCTTTTGAATGTATTCCATGTTTAACTTTTAAAAATCAAGCCAATAAAAAATAAAATAAAAATCAGGCAAACACGTGATAACAGTTATTAAATTTGGTGGTTTGACAATTATATTTGTTTTATGTGTGTAAGATATTTGCACGTAACTGTTTTGATAATGAATGTTAACTGTATGTAAATGAAAGTAATTGACCCTTGCCTGCAGAACTTGACAGTACGGATGGTGCCAAGGTTTTTAGTAAGCAACCAGGAAGAATCCAAAGAGTAGCAAGAGGATCGGGTGTGTCAACGAGAGATGTTCAGGAACTTTTGACACAATATACCAAGTTTGCACAGATGGTAAAAAAGATGGGAGGTATCAAAGGACTTTTCAAAGGTAAGAAAAAGAAGCTGATCATTAGTTAACACACTGAAAGAAAGTTAAAAAACTAAAAATTAAAACCAGGAATACTGCCAGTATTAGAAAATATATTGCTGAATTTCATGTTATAATAAAATTATAATATAATGATTCATGATGCAATCTCTGATTTATCTGTTTTTATGTTCAAGGTAATAAACTCTAATATTTAAAAAAACAAACTTCATGACTGTATTTTTTGAAGATCTAATATATATATTTAAGAATATGGAGAATATAAGAAAAAATTTTAAAAACCCATTACCTTTACTCCTCAGAAAATCTCATGGATCCTATTGCAAAAAAATTTTTATTTGACTTGTGTTTTCTTCTGATGCATTGTGACTATTTTCCATATTGTCAAACAATCTTCAAAATAATAACTTTTAACCACTGAATACTATTTCAGTTGAGCATGTATCTTTTGTTTAATGCAATGCTGCTTTGTTGGGTATTTAGGCTGATTCATCTGCTTCTCTATCAATACCAGTTCTTGCATCAGTTTCTGTGCCATCTTCCACGAGGCTAGCAATTGTGTCTGTGAGATCAGAAACATAGTAGATGCTGAATAAATGTTGTAAAATTTAGTATTTCCAATTTAATGGTTAAATGTTTTTCAATATGTGATTTTTAGATTACCAATCAAATTTAGTGTGCTTGTGCATTTGCTGGTTTGAATTTTCTTTGTGAATCACCTCTTAGGTTCTCTGTTTACTTATTTCATTTTTTCCGTTATTGCTTTGTAATTACTCTTTAAAATCCTTGGTATATCTGCAAATAGTTTTTTCCAGTTTTTCACCTGTCTTTTTTAAAATATATTTTATAATGAAGTTTTTCATTTTTAATGTAGCCAAGGCTGTTTATCTTTTTCTTTCATTTCTTTTATGCTTATAAATGTTTTTCCATGTTGCTACAGAAGTAGTCATCTATATTTTCTTCTACTCATTTTAGTTTTATTTAAATCTTAGGTTTTACTTTCTGTCCTATCAGAAATTTATTTTGCCCTGAATTGTGTAAGGTTAAAAAATAAGCTTGTTTTTCCAAAAAGTTAATCAACTGTTCCAGTCCTCTTTTAATTTTTTCTGTATTGTAAACACTATTAAAGTGAATTTATTATTTAAAAAAATAGTGATTAGGTCCACACTAAATATGAATAGTACCACTGAATAGCTGTCTTAAAAAATGAGTGTTTATAGAAGTATTATCACTGACCTTGACACTTTTTTAATTTTCCTTGCTTGCTATATTCTAATTTCTCTTTTGTGACATGGGGAAAAAAGTTAGACAAACATATTTAAAATTGGCTATAAATCGTAACATCACATGCTATTTCAGATGGTGATTAATAAATATGTGTAGTTTAACATCTTTCCGAAATGACCTTGACTGTTCTTGATAGAACTGTTGCAGACCTATCAATCAGATATTATCTAAGCATTGATTACTCAATAAAGGCACAACCCAGATGAAATGGCCATTGGATATAGGGCATATCATTGTCATACCCAACGGTTAATATCTTGTGTAAGTTTTAAATCCTCAGAAACAAACTCTTAATGACGAATCACCAATGAACATACAATTCACATTTTACCCAGGTTTAATTATTTTTTACATTTTATTATGTTGTATTAATAAACATCTTTTTAATTTATAGTTCTTGGTTCATATAATTATTCAGATTACCCAGTTTCGATCAGAGAATCAGGGGCAGCTTTGGTTTTCATTTTCCTAAATGCTCCCAAGAGGTACCAGAATTAATGTTCCTTTGAAATAATTTTTTTGAACAGTTTTATTTATTCACTGCTGTTGAATTGATGTCTTTTGCCTCCTCTTTAATCATAGCAGCTATACTCTAAAGGAAAGCTCTTACCTGTTCTGCCCCAGAGTACAGCTCTGTCCTTGGCTGCCTTCTTTACTGTGGAGTTTTAATTGTGTGTGGAAATCTACTGATAAATGGAGTTGGATTATTTGTCTTACTATTCTCTGAAGCTTTCTGTTACTTTGAATAGTTTCTTAGATACAAACAGATTCTCAAGTTCTCTCAGGCTCATTCCTTTCATATTCATTTATCAGCAATCCAGGTTCTTTCTTAATTAATCCATATCTGTAAACACAGTTTTTTGTTTGGCATTCTCCGATATTACTCTTTAAAAAAAGTGTTGATGTAGCTTACCTTTGGGTACAGTTTTGCTTATAGTGGCTCATTCACAGGTATAACTAAAAAGTATTAAGAAAAAAATCTTAGCCCTGAAGAAAGTCCCTTAAATTTTCCTTAATAAAGAATTTCAGCCCTAGCTGGTGTAGCTCAGTGGATTGATCACGGGCTGCAAACCAAAGGGTCACAGGTTCGATTCCCAGTTAGGGCACATGCCTGGGTTGCGGGCCAGGTCCCCAGTGGGGGCCATGCGAGAGGCAACCACACATTTGATGTTTTTCTCTCTTTCTCCCTTCCCTCCCTTCTCTAAAAATAAATAAAATCTTAAAAAAAACCAAAATTAAAAAAAATTTCATGTATACTTTCTCAAAAGTACATATGTAATTGAGATAAAGATTAAAAGAGAATACATACAAATAATTGTGTTAGAATGATAGGATTATAGGTGATTATTTTATTTACTCAATTTATTAAACTTTCTGTAATACCCTGATTGTATTACATTTTATAGTGACTCAAAACATTTTTTTATTTTTAGGTGGTGACATGTCTAAGAATGTGAGCCAGTCACAGATGGCAAAATTGAATCAACAAATGGCCAAAATGATGGATCCACGAGTTCTTCATCACATGGGTAAATACAAAGTCGTTGTCAGTTGCTAATACACAGTTTATGAGGGTTGAGTTTGTTCGTTTGTTTTTTTAATCCTCAGCCGAGGACATTTTTTTCCATTGCTTTTAGAGAGAGGGGATGGGAGAGAGGGAGGGAGAGGAACATCCATGCAAAAGAGAAGCATAGATTGCCTCGCATATGCGTCTGGACCAGGATAGGACCTACAACCTAGATATGTACTCTGACCTGGAATAAAACCCTCAAACTTTTGGTTTTGGGACAATGCTCCAACCAGCTGAGCCACATCAGCCAAGGCTATAAGGGTTATGATAAGCCTTCTGTTGAGAGATTATGAAAATCTGTTCAACAGATGTGTGATTTGAAGGAAATAGCCATCTGAATTCTAAGTTGAATGGTTGTAATAGTGCTATATAAACAGGTTTCACTCACTTGTCTGCTGCCCTCTGTGTGATTTTTGAACAGTTATTTAATCATTTTTAATGCTTATTCTGGTGACCCTTTGTCCTGGTTTAAGACATGGATATTTTCAGTGATTAAGACTTTGGAATTATATATAAGGATTTTGAAACCCAATTCCACTTTTACTATATAGCCTATAAAACATTCCTTAAACTTTCTGAACCTCACTTGTCCCTTCTTTAAAAGCACTAATATTGAGCGCGGGCCTGAGAACCACACGATCGCGGTTCGATTCCCAGTCGGGGCACATGTTTGGGTTGCAGGCCGGTTCCCTGCAGGCTAGTTCCCAGCAGGGGATGCACGAAAGGCAACCATACATTGATGTTTCTCTCCCTCTCTCCTTCCCTTCCCCTCTAAAGATAAATAAATAAAATCTTAAAAAAATAAAAAATAAATAAAAGCACTAATATTATCAGGAAATTGTGGCAATTAAATGAGCTAATATATGTTACAGCATTTGGTACAGTTCTGGGCATGTGGTAGATGTTCAATAAATGGTTAACTCTTCCTGTGAGTCCTATGAAATAACTCCTTTCCCTCCCAAATTGATTATTATTTACAATAACACTCTTTTGGACTTCCCAGAAAATAAACTTTTTATATAGATTTATTGAATCCTTACTGTGTGACAGGCACTGTTCTAAGGTGTTTTCAGGTATTATCTCATTTATTTATATGAGGATGCTGGCAAATATAACAGTTTTGAATTGGTGTGTTCTTTAAAGCCAATGACTAAATTGCAGTCAGAACCCAGGATATTTTTAGAAGTTAAAGTACTTATTAGGCAAAAGTAACAAATGTTTCAAGTTCTACTTAATAATTATTGGATTTTACTCTCTCTCTAGGTGGTATGGCTGGACTTCAGTCAATGATGCGGCAGTTTCAACAGGGTGCTGCTGGCAATATGAAAGGCATGATGGGATTCAATAATATGTAAAGAAAATGCCTTAATATAAACTGACTCAGTTGATTACGTTAATTGATGAGACCTCAGAGTTTCCTCCTTTTGCAAATGGGGAATAAAAGTATTTTTCTTGCCTGTCTTGCCCTTTTTCTCTTCTCATCATTTTTCCTTTTCTGCCTTCCTTCCTTCCTTCTTTTCTCCTTCCCTTTGATAAAAGGGAGAAATATATTGTTTTTGTGGAAATCATATTTTTGCTTTAGATTTTCTTCTGTCAGTTTTTACCATCATAACATTCTTAAGTTAAATAAATCATGATGTAAAATTTTAGTACTTAAGTTTTTAATTGTTTCAAAGGCCAAGCATTACATTTGTAAACAGTCCTGGTCAGTAGTTACATGATTTCTTAATAAAAGTGCTGTAAAATAAACTTGAAAGTTGTTATAAGTTAAGGGTTTGTTAACTTTCTTTATTGTTTGAATCTGTCAGTGTATCAATTAAAAGGCAGACAGAAAACCAATACTTCGGTGCCATTTAAAGCTATCCCTAGAAGTATGCCATTAATGGGAAATATGATAGAGTAACTTAACCATTAGTACAAGGAATTTATGTTTAACTTAGAATAATTTAGAAGATAATTTTGCCATAGAACATGTTAGCTCTGCTATTTAAATTGAAATTGTGCCCTGACGTGTGTGGCTCCGTTGGTAGGAGTGCCACCCATGACTGAAGGGTTCCGGGGTACAGTCCTGGTCCAGTCCAGGACTGGTCCAGAGCATATACCTAAGTTGCAGGTCTGCTCCTCGGTCCAGGCTTGTCTGGGAAACAGACAGTTGATGTTCCTCTCTCACATCGATGTTTTTGTCTCTCCCTCCCTCTCTTCCTTTCTCTGAAAAGCAAGGAAAAAAAACCCTTAGATGGGGGTTAAAAAGTAATAATAATAAATTGAATTGTGAATTTAGTTGCAATTCACAATATAGTGTTTTATATATAACTTGTATTTTTACCTTATATTTTCAAAGCCTTAATGGCAATATTTGATTGTTTTGAAAAGCCAATTTTGTTGTTTCTTACATACCAAAAATTTGCTTTAATAAATTAATATACTTTGATGACAATAATTGCAAACATTAGGCTGATACTGTTAAATATTAATAATAGTGAGACTATAACAAGATTGATCTGGTTGTTGGTTACTTTGGATTTTTTTATGGTTCATTTAGTACAATGTCTCTTAAATAAGTTATGGAACTATTTTAAAATGCTAAAAAAGTAATTCCTATTTATCAGTGACATCAAGAGGATAATAGATATGGTGTAGCAATATATTTTGAACTAGGATAAATCAGGAAAGGATTGATTTATAAGAGTGAAAGAAATAGCTAGTTTTTATAGTATTTTTAATGACAAGTGTTTTAAGGGTCTCAAGTCAAAGTATTTTTAAAAAATAATTACATAAAAATGCAACTGATTTGTCAGCTTGTTTGGGTAGAGGTTTTACATCCCACTAAATTATTTTTACCATCTAAAAACTAGAATAAGTACTACAGAATATTGTATACCCTGTGAAAATGATGTATCTGGTTTCTGCAGAAATGTCATCACAAGATCCAGCTATAGGAATTTCACAATAGAGCAAATATTGTTCTCCAGATTCATTTCTAATTAAACTTATGCATACTGCCTTTTCTGGCTGTGCATTTTTGTTATTTCTGTCTTCAGGGCACTACTTTTTTTCATTTTAACTGGAAAAGGAAATGAGACACTTGGCCAAACTTCACGGTTTCAGGCATTGTTTTTAGTATTCTTGTGTCTGATGCAAATTTTATTTTTTAGAAGCAAAAATAACAGTGGCAAAGGACAACTAAAGGTCTAGAATACCTACTTTAGCTTCCATTTCTCTTTCCTTTCTGTAAAATGAGGGAATTGGAGAAGGTATCTAAAATTTTGATTTCATTTTCCTCAACCAGGCATTTTTAGTTACAAAAGCTCTCCTTCTGTTTTCACAATTTATATCAAGGTATTGATTTTTTATAGCACAAGAACTATGTACCAAAATGAAGTTCTTTAATAATTTGAACAAATTTTTTAAATTTCACTATTGTTAAAATTGGTTCCTTAGCTTTTTAATATATTACCAACTGAGACCACTAGTAGATCTAATATACAACATGGTTCTTCCTGAATTTTATTATGTTACTTAAATATGTACAAACATAAAATTGTTATGTATTCCTTCAGTTTACAATGCTTATATAATTATAAAACAAAAACACACTTAGAAATGACTTAACAACAAACTATAGTACCAAGAAAGGGCAAATTAACAATGCAATGTGACAGATATCAGTGTTCTTCTGGAAGTACCCTATTTGTTGGCATAGAAGATGTATGTATAAAATATCTATATATATTTATATGTGTTCATATACACACAAACAGTGCATTACAATTTTGTGGAGGAATTTTTTGGAAAAAATAAGTACCTTTCATGTAGTAAAAGTAATTTTAGAGTGTGTTACATAAACTGTTATTTTATTCAGATAAATACAGTATATTATAATGTGAGAAATCCTAAGTTCTGATATTCAGTATTAACCTTGAATAGTAGTGTCACATAGCTAAAAAAGTGTAAAAAATTAACAAACACTACTACACAGAAGGCAACAAAACCAGGACATTTACTGTAACTAAAGTCTCATGCGTATTAAAGTAGGTGAAATAAATATAATATTTATACCTTATTCCAGTGAATGTAGGGAGTCCGAAAAGTAAACCATAATAACCCTGGCTGGTGTGGCTCAGCGGATTGAGCATCAGTGGATTGAGCCTGTGAACCAAAAGGTAGCCAGTTTGAGCCCTCATTAGGACTCATGCCTGAGGTTGTGGGCCAGGTCCGTATCTGGGGGCATGACAGAGACAACCACTGGATGTTTTTTTCTCACATCGACCTTTCTCCCCCTCTCTTTTTCCCTCCCTTTCCCTCTCCCTGAAAATAAATAAAATAACATTTTTTAAAAGTAAACCATAATATAAAATAAAATTGAGCAAATGTCTTTTATAGGTAGCTCTAGTACATATAAGCAAATGTTTCAGTAAAACAATGGAACAAAGCATTTCAAATAAATGTGAAGGAATTTCAACTTGATTTTTGTATACAAGTTCTGCCCAGAAAAAGTCCAGCCATTTTTAAGGTAACAAGAACAGTTTGCATGACACTGATGTAACCTGGCAGCCAAGGAAGGTGGACTGGAATGTGCATATGTGAACAATGACAACTTCATTGTACTATTCTGTGGGGGCAGTATACGCCATTGAGTGAGTATGTGTGCTGTGTGGCCATCGCATTAAAAATAACTGAGTAAGTAGAGCAATGAAATCTGCATCAGTATTGTGTTAAGCTTGAACATTCCTCCACAGAAACTATTCAGATCATTCAGAAGGCCGCAGCTATGGTGATTGGCAACTTCATCATCACGCATCACATCATGTCTTGTGCAGTTTTTTCGTAAAATATCAAGTCACCCAGGTGACTTAGACCCCCTACAGTCCATATTTGGCAACTGTGACTTCTGGCTTTTCCCAAAACTAAAGTCACCTTGGAAAGGAAAGAGATTTCAGCCCTGGCTGGTGTGGCTCA